TGGGTATCTCCAGAGAGTAGAAATTCTGGAACCTGTTTTGACAGCCTGTTCCAGTGTTTGATTATAAAATAAATACATCTTTGTCTAATTAATTTTCCCTGTTCCAAGTTTTGCCCATTGCTTCCACAACTATCACAGTACACCTCCAAGAAGGGTCTGGCTTCATCTTTGCATCCTCCTAGCAATAAGATAGCAATAAAGTGTCCCTTAACCTTCTCTTCTTAAGTCTGGACAATCCCAGTTCCCTCAGTAGCCTGTCCTTGCATGTCTGGTGTTCAAGCTCTCTGATTATTTGGGGGATTCCTCTGGACTCACTTCAGTATTTCAGTGCCTTTTTCAAAGAAGCATGAAGCTGGACACAGTACTCAGAATGCAGTCTCGAAAGGACTGGATAGAGAGGAAGAATCACTTCCTTTGACTGGCTGTTCAACACTTTATTAGTGTCTCTGTATTCCTCTTGGGTAGCTTATCCCTTCTTCAACCTTATGCATACTTGCCATCAGCATTTGAACTTAGGAGTCTTATTCATCGATTCTGGCCTTCTGCACCACTTAACTGAGTTTCTGTGCAGTGGAGTGAACTATTATTCTTTGAGGAGGTAGTCCTTGCAGATCAAGCTGTTGTGAGCCATCCAGGGCAACTATTAAAAGTGCTCACCAAGTTCAAGAACTTAATAATGAAGGAACCAAGTACCAAAGGGGTGTAAAGTAGAAGAGAGAAAGGCACAAAGATATAGATCAGAAAGGATTGGTGGATGGATCAGAGTGGGTTGTGTGTGTCAAACCTACATTTTCCTTTTCTTTATATGCCGAGCTTTTTTTCTGCCCTCTGCTGTTCATCTTCAACAGTAAGATTGTTGATTGCATAGCAAAGAGTTGTTAACAGAGGGGCAGTTCATTAGGAGAATACAGGTGTATGAAGCTGGCAGATATCATACCTTTTCACTGTATTTGTGCCACAGTGATAGATCTTCAAGCTGAACAGTAGTAGTTCTTTCTGCTGAAAATGAAACACTGTAAAATCATACCTCTAGCTCCTGTGTCATGTTTCAGTGATATGCGCTGTGGTTTACTTGGAGGTACATGTTACAGGTGCTGAAGCCATGCTGGAGTAGCTGTTTAGCATCTTATCTAAGATCTCTGATCTCTAGCTGATTGACTTTTCTGCATATTTTACCTGTCAGATTTTTTTTATTGGCAAATGCTTTGTTTCATATTGTTTCTTCTTTCACTCTCATCCTGGGTTGATTTGAAGAAGTGCTCCTTGAGCAACCACATTGGGTGACTTTAAAAAAAATTAAAAGGAATTTTAAAAAGAAGTACTTGAGCATAAGGGTGTAAGTAGCAAACAATATCAAAGCACATGCAGCCCTTCTACTGGGACAGAAGAATAATGAACAAAAGAAAACTCTTAATTCTGTGACATCTCATGGTGATGTGAGGTGTTGAGTGCAATGGTGTGCACACTAAATGTTGTTATTTGATATTCAGCTGCAAAACCAAGGAATTTTGCTACTATCCATTCATGTTTCCTTTTTAAATATATATAGTGTTGCTAGACAAGGAGCTAATACTATTTTGCAAATAATACCATAGTAGATCTTGAGGGATAAGAAGATAAGACCTGGAAATTTGGAGCAAGGGCCTGTACTGCAAGAATGGAGAGCCTGTTCCAATGCCTGATAAACCTTTCAGTAAAGAAATTCCTCCTAATGTCCAACCTAAACCTCCCCTGACCCAACTTGAGGCAATTTCCCCTTGTCCTACCACTATCTACAGGGAGAAGAAACAGACTCTCACCTTGCTACAACCTCCTTTCAGGTAGTTGTAGACAGTGCTAAGGTCTCCCCTCAGCCTCCTCATCTCCAGACTAAACAACCCGATCTCCCTCAGCTGCTCCTCATAAAACTTGTGCTCTAGACCCTTCACCGGCTTTGTTGCCCTTCTCTGGACATGCTCCAGCATCTTGATGTCCTTTTTGTTGTGAGGGGCCCAAAACTGAACACGGTATTCGAGGTGTGGCCTCACCAATGCTGAGTACAGGGGAAGGATCACTTCCTTGGTCCTGCTGGCCGCACTATTTATGATACAAGCCAAGATGATGTTGGCTTTCTTGGCCACCTGAGCACACTGCTGGCTCATGTTCAGCCAACTGTCCATAAACACCCCCAGGTCCTTTTCCTCCGGAGAGCTCTCCAGCCACTCCTCTGCAAGCCTGTAACGTTGCATGCGGTTGTTGCAACCCAAGTGCAGGACTCAGCATTTGGCCTTGTTGAACCTTGTACAATTGGCCGCAGCCCATTGATTCTGCCTATCCAGGTCCCTCTGTAAAGCCTGTCCACCTTCAGGCAGATCAACACTCCCTCACAACTTAGTGTCATCTGCAAACTTACTGAGGGTGCACTCAATTCCTCATCCATGTAATTGATAATTATATTAAACAGAAGTGGCCCCAGTACTGAGCCCTGGGGAACACCACTTGTGACTGGCTGCCAACTGAATTCAGCTCTGTTCACCATAACTTTGGGCCTGGCCATCTGGCCAGTGTTTTACCCAGTGAAACATGTGCCTGCCCAAGTCATGTGCAGCCAGCTTCTCCAGGAGGATGCTGTGGGAAACGATGTCAAAGCCTTACTAAAGTTCAGGTAGACGTCCACAGCCTTTTCCTCATCCTCTCACTTGTGACTGGCTGCCAACTGAATTCAGCTCTGTTCACCATAACTTTGGGCCTGGCCATCTGGCCAGTGTTTTACCCAGTGAAACATGTGCCTGCCCAAGTCATGTGCAGCCAGCTTCTCCAGGAGGATGCTGTGGGAAACGATGTCAAAGCCTTACTAAAGTTCAGGTAGACGTCCACAGCCTTTTCCTCATCCTCTAAGCAGGTCACCTCGTCAGAAAAGGAGATAAGATTAGTCAAGCAGGACCTGTCCTTCCTGAACCCATGCTGACTGGGCCTGATCGCTTGGTTGTCCTGCATGTGCCGTGTGATGGCACTCAGGATGATTTGCTCCATCACCTTCCCTGCCACTGAGGTCAGACTGACAGGTCTGTAGTTCCCCAGGTCTTCCTTCTGGCTCTTCTTGTAGATGGGCATCACGTTTGCAAGCCTCCAGTTGACTGGGACCTCCCCAGTCAGCCAGGACTGTTAGTAAATGATGGAAAGTGGCTTGGTGAGCACTTCTGCCAGCTCCCTCAGGACCTTGGGGTGGATCCCATCTGGCCCCATAGACTTGTGTATGTCTAAGTGGTGTAGCAGGTTGCTAACCCATCTCTTCATGGATTGTAGGGGCTTCATTATGCTTCCTATTCCTGTCTTCATGCTCAGTGGGCTGGGTACCCAGAGTACTACTGGATTTCCTACTAAAGACTGAGGCAAAGAAGGCATTAAGTACCTCAGCCTTTTCCTTGTCCCCGGTCACTGTGCTTCTCCCCACATCTACTAGAGGGGGGAGACTCTCCTTAGTCCTCCTTTTGTTGCTAATGTATTTGTAGAAATGTTTTTTATTGTCTTTAGCAGCACTAGCCAGATGAAATTCTAGCTGGGCTTTGTCCCTTTTGCCTGCATGACTTCATCGTAACCATATGATCCAAAAGTTCTGGTACTACTTGTGGTCATAACTCTTCAATCCTAAAGAAACTACAATGATCAAGACTACAAACAGAATACCTTTTAGATCCACTTCTGTGTTGATATTACTGGTATATTTTTTTTTTCTGATACGCTACTAATTCTCACTAGTGAAGTAATTTGTGAAATTCTGCAACACACCAGTAATTTAAATATGCCAGACAGCTATATTAAACTGTCTACTTTTGTTTATTATGTACTCGATTTGACTCCTAGAGCAAATAGCAATTTTGTGCATGTGTAAGTGCACTGCAGCTCATGTTCCTTATTTACAACATCTCTAAATGCATGCGTAGCCACTTTTATGTGTTGATGAAGTGCCATTGTTCTTTGATATAGAGTAAGAAGTATGGATCGCATAACCGATGCTCAGCTGCTGTTGTTAGCAGTGAATAAAGTTGCAAAGAAGCTCAGAATTGTTTTTATCCTTCAAAAATAACTTGAGGGAAAATGCTAAATGGTTCAGTGTTGCCGTGTGATGCTAATACTCAAGGGATTTCTTTTGCATGTCTGAAGTATATGGCCAGTGTAATTTACACATGCAGTATTCTGAAGAACCTTGCCAACTGTAGGAAATAAAACTTCCTTACCAGAGAGATTGAATGAAAATGTATGTTAACTAAGGCTGATCAATCAGAGTGAATTAATCTGAACTTGATGTATTTTTTTCAGATTGATGCTGTTGTCCTAAATTAAATGCAATTTTTCACTATAGTTAGGTAGGCCTAACTTTAATTAGGTAAGGACTCCAAGTGTTAATATTTAGAAACAACAAACTTGTGCAAGTAATTTGGTTGACTACTGTGTATTGCTACGTATCTGACAGAACTGTAGTTGTATTCACCATTCACAAAGTTCTTCAGCCACTTTTGTGATTATCTTTGTGTTTTCTTTGTAAACAAATAACTTTCTATTTTGGCAGTAGCGCAATGTTTCCATTCAGTTTTTTTCATTGAGTTCATTCTTCCTGTAATATTTTAACAAGTTGAAGACAGTTTTTTACGTATTTTGGACTTTCAGATGAAACATACAAATTCATTCCTAATTGTGAAAAAATATATGTTTGTCTTGTGTTAAGGAGCTTGTCAGTTCATCACTGTTCCTAGGTACTTCCAATTGTGTTCTTAACATCAACAGAGATACGAGAGATTCAGTGATGAAACAAATCATACAGTATATGTACAAAAGTGCTTTTTTTAATGAAAATGTTATATAGTTTTGATGGTTCTGACAGTGCTTAGCTCTTCTGTGTTTAAAGAATGCGTTATCCTAATTGCTCAGAAGGAACTACTGTGACTGTGTATGTCTGTTTTCTGAGTGCTGCCTTTTGAGAACAAGATTTTAATAGGGTTGTTTTTCTTCAATTTCTTTAGCATTTGCCCTTGCTGAGTTGATTGACAATTCCTTGTCAGCAACAGCCCGAAATACTGGTATTCGGAGCATACAGATAAAATTGGTAAGATAGAAATATTCTACTTTTTCAGGTGTAGTTTGCATTATCCTTTTTTTCTTCTGTTGCTCCTTGGTTTTTGTTTGTTTGTTTGGTTTTTCCCCCCAGTTATTTGATGACTCCCAAGGAAAACCAGCTGTTGCAGTGATCGATAATGGAAGAGGAATGACTTCTAAGCAGCTTAACAACTGGGCTGTGTATAGATTGTCAAAGTTTACAAGACAAGGTGACTTTGAGAGGTTAGAAATTTTTAATCATTTTTACAACAATTAGCAAACTCTGCTGCATCCAGTTCTGGGGCCACCAATATAAGAAGGACATGGAGCTGTTGGAGCGGTTCCAGAGGAGGGCCACGAGGATGATCAAAGGGCTGGAGCACCTTCCCTATGAGGACTGGCTGAGAGAGCTGGGGCTATTCAGCCTGGAGAAGAGAAGGCTCCAGGGGAACCTTATTGCAGCCTTCAAGTTCCTAAAGAGGTCCTACAGGAAAGCTGGGGAAGGAGTGTTTACAAGGGCAGGTAGTGATAGAACAAAGGGGGATAGTTTTAAACTGGAAGAGGGTAGATTTAGACTAGATATTAGGGAGAAATTCTTTACTGTGAGGGTGCTGAGACACTGGCACAGGTTGCCCAGGGAAGTTGCTGATGCCCCCTCCCTGACAGTGTTCAAGGCCAGGTTGGACAGGGCTTTGGGCAACCTGGTCTAGTGGGAGGTGTTCCTGCCCATGGCAGGGGGGTTGGACTGGATGATTTTTAAGGTCCCTTCCAACCTAAACCATTCCATGATTCTGTGGTTCTACATCATTTTAAGACATATCTCTATACCAGCACTTACAAAAACCTGTCTTTCTATGATTACATATAAATAGACACGTAATTTTTGTAGGTAGGAAATAAAGAAACTTCATAAGGCAAAACTGCTCTTCTAATGTGGTACTGTGAGAACATTTTTTATTCTCATGGCTTTTTCCAAGCTGTCTTTGACTTGCCTACACAGTCATTCTGTGTTCTGAAAAGTTTGGGTTTTTTTAATAATGTGTTCATCTTTTACCTGAAGCACTTTCAGTAGTGCATTAAACAATGCATTCAATGTCCATTATGCTACTGGAATAATGGATACAGCGTCTGGATTAGGTTCTCTTGCCTTTTTTGTGTTTTTAATTGGGTACAATGTAATGCAAAATTACACTTGAAAATGTCTCTTTTCTGAAGGAGGCTAGGCAAAATAAATGTTTTGTAGTTAAAGAGGAAAGTGGAGGTTTATGGTGGATATTGTTTCTTATATGAATTTTACAGTTTTGAATCTGTTCTCAAGAGATCTTCCACCTGCACAACCAGGCTTAACTCCAGTGTAGATGTTGTGGTTTAGGCTGGGCTGGCCACTAAATCCTGGACACATGCTCCCTATTGACCCCTCTGCCCTCCCCAGAAGGGAGGAGAAAAGAGAACAAGGGAGAGAGACTTTACAGGTTGGAAAATAAAACTAACAGATTTAATAAAACAATAATACTAATACTACAGGATAATAATGTAAATGGGAAAATAATGAAATATATACAAATATGTACAAATATATACAAAACCAATATAAAATCCTCCCCCCACCCTCCCCCAATGACGATTACGTCACCAGAGGCTCTGCGGAGCAGGGCTCTGGAAAAGTCCCAGACCAAACTCAGCAGCAGGTGGGAGCAGGATGCAGGAACACATGAATCAGGATCAGAGACAGACAAACTAGCAGGATTCCGCTCAGGCCTCGGCCTCTGCAGGATCGAGATGGACAGAAGGGTCCAAGATGAAAGAAGGGTGGAGACCCTCGTGATCCCTCGGCTTTATACAGAGTATGACGTATGTGGGATGGAATACCTCGTTGGTCAGTTTTGGGTCTGCTCCCCCCCTACCCCCGTAGGCACAGACATGGCACCCATGCTGAGACAGTGGCCTTGAGATTGTTTCTAGCAGTACGCAGCCTGGAAAAACATGCTGCTACTTTCAGCAAGTTCAGCCACTTAGAAGAGACTGAGTTGAAAAGTAAAATCATGAAGTAGAAAATTAGTTCTATTTAGCTCAAACTAGGACAGTAGAAAATTCCATAGAAGCAGACACATACAGTTCTTGGCCTTTAGTCATTTTCTGAGTACCTTAAACCTAGGACAGTAAATGTGAAGATGAGGATCACAGCCTCAATCTTAAATAATTTGTCCTATGAGAAACTAGTGCAAAAAGTAATGGGGCAGTGGAAAGTGATAATAGAGCTGAGGAGGAGGGTTTTTTCCCACTGGAAGGATCTCCAAATAGAGTGACTATATCTATCAAACAACTGGAAATAAGTGCATGAAAAGTGTTCCTGGTTCATGTAGTCATTTGTAAAGAAATTCTCGACTTTGTGTAATTGCTGTAGGTGTAACAGTAGAAATGTATAGTATTTTTAAACTGTGGGCTGATACCATTCAATGGGAGCATAGCTGTAAATTATACCAGGATACCAGCTACACTTTGTTTTCATTTGGGACTGCTATGATCCTACTATTTGCTTGAACTAGGTAAGATTGTTCATCCATCAAAGTTGAATTTAAAGACATGGAATTTAATTGCTGATGGCATATATACTCCAGTGTAAAAAAAAAAGTACATAGATACTAATAAGCAAAAGAATTATTTAGATGAAAAAGTTGGTATGACTGAATAAGGTTTGAATTCCTAGAACGGGACAGAAATGTCTTATGACTTAGGAACAGACTTACTCTCTCATTATCCTTTTAAAGAAATTACATTGAGAATTTTAGACACATGCATTTTAATGCTGCAATTATAATAAATCCAAAGTGAAGAATTTTTGAACAAAGCGACTGGAGAAAGAATTAATACAAGCTCTTTAGATCAGAAGTTTCTTTTTTAAAATTACTTTTCTCTTGAGAAAATTTATTAAAGACCCTTTTTACTTTCAGTGATCATTCAGGATATGTACGCCCTTTGCCGGTGCCTCGTAGTTTAAATAGTGATATCTCATATTTTGGAGTTGGAGGCAAACAAGCAGTGTTCTTTGTTGGACAGTGTGCCAGAGTAAGTAAATGTTAATCTTTAACTTTATTTTAATCACAACATTAAATTATTTTATTATGTTCATTTTAAGTTGTATATTGATTTTAAATACTGTTTCTTTAACAAAATCAGATGATAAGCAAACCTGCAGATTCTCAGGATGTTCATGAACTTGTCCTTTCTAAAGAGGATTTTGAAAAGAAGGAGAAAAACAAAGAGGCAATATATAGTGGATACATTCAAAACAGAAAGGTAAGTAGCCTTCATACTTTCTCCTTTTTAATGGAAAGCCTTTCCCAAGTTAACATGATTTCACTGAGTAATATCCTTGTAATACTTTTCTGGGAATTGTTTTATTGAATCATTTTCATTCTGGAGTGTAAAAGGAAGTAATGGGAAACTTGAACACTCTGTATCATAAGGCCTTAGTTGTATGTGGTTTTTTTCTCTTTTCAGTTTAGCTTTAAGGACAGAAATGCCATATAGTTTGAAGTAGGTTAAGAAAAATATTTTAAATACCTTTCTAAGAACAGCAATTTTTTTTAATGTAACTCTGCCTTTTCTTTATTATCTGTGATTTTATCACTAGCATAGAAATGGCCCCTTACCTGGATGAAAACAACAAAACTGTTGGGTTTTGTTGTGACTTAAGCCCAGTGGGCAACAGGGCACCACAATGCCAGTTTGTAGGCCGAGACAAAAAAGGACTGGGAGGGTTTTTCTATGAGCAGAAGAAAGCATTTGAAGAATTGCAGTCTTTTTGATGAAAGTTCCCACAACTGGTTAAGTTTTCCTGTTGGCTAAGGAGAGCTCTTTGATTACCTGGGGAAAGTAATTCTTAACAGAACACTCTTGACTAACATTTTTCACTGCCTGCAGTTAGGTAGGAGAAGCATCCTTTCACAACTTAGTGATATGTTTCCTTTTGCCTGCGTTCCTGCAAAACAAGGCATGAAGCTGCATTTACTATAGCATGGAAAACCTTTTCAGTTGTACCAATTGTTTGCAATTGCTGTACAGTTCTTGATCTTTGTGTTAAAAATAGCTTCTTTTCTGGATGCACCAAATGTAAAGGATTATCCACTGGTCCAACGTGAAGCATGACATCAACTGCCATGTTTCTGTGCGACTTAGAAACCTTCTGTCATAAGAGTAAGCGAATCCATCCAGGAAAAGGCAATCAGGACTTTCTGGAATCAAGAACAACTTTTTCTGTGAGACTACTGGATATTTCAGCTGGAAGTGATTCAGCCTTTCTCTTTAACAGCAAAAGCATGTCCTTCCACATCAATTTCTCTTATAGAAAGCAGCCTATCTTTTTTAAAAGCTTTTTTTTTTTTTTCCGGCTTGGTTTTCTTAAAGAAGACACCATTATAGTTCCATTTGAAGGATGAGAACGTAGATATCACACAGTGCCATATGAAACATTATTAAATGAATTTCTAGATGAAAGTGAGTTGAAAATTACCTGGATCAGGGATGTCAGATTCTCCGTTCGTTGACTTTAATTTGGAGGCTTTTTATTTTGAGCTTTAATCCTTTGTGATACTTAGCATCATGTGTTCTGTATTCTTTTCCTGTTCTGTTTTTTAATCTTTTTCAAATCTGATGGAAGTTCAAAAATTCAGTTTACTTTCCTACTCTTATTCTTTCACTCTTTTTGTAGCCATCTGACTCTACTCACATCACAAGTGATGATGAAAGATTTCTTCATAATCTGATATTAGAAGAAAGGGATAAAGAGAGTTTCACAGCAGTTGTCATTACAGGTGTACAACCAGATCATATGCAATACTTGAAAAACTTCTTTCATCTTTGGACAAGGCAGCTGGCGTAAGTTTGTGATTTAAAAGTGGACTACTAACAAAGTCAGATAAATTACTTCCTTTTTGTACTAATCATTGGCTTTATTCCTGTTCAGGCTGTTGATACATATTATATTGATGCCACAATTAGTCTTCCTAGCTGATTTTACAAAAAACAGCACAACTGAATAAGGCTCCCCATCCAAACAAAGAAGTTTACAAATATCAGTTTCAGTGTGACTTGATAACTGATACATAATCATCCAGCCGAATTATTAATAACCTATTCCATTTGTTATGTTGTTAATGTAATAATTAGATCTATAATTATTAATAACTTGATAAGTTACTGTTCTCTGTGCTTCTAAACTTAATATCTAGGTTTGTGTTTTGTTTTAGTTGTAGTTTTGTTTTTTTTAAAGAAAGAAAAAAGCTGCTGCTTCATCCCAGTTTAGCAGGGAGACTGATATATGTCCACTTAGTACTGTAGTAGTGTCATCAGTGGGCCAGTAGAGCTTGGAGACATGGAAGTCTGCGACACCTGTGAATTGTGTGGGCTTATCTGTTAAACTGATGGGTGGATCTATCTGTGAATGTAAACTGAACTATGAAGCCATAGCCCAATTTTGAAATCTGGCAAGCAGTAGAACTTGATTTTCAAGCTGTAATTTTATTTTTGTGTTACCTGTAATCTAATAATAATAGATAATCCTTAATATGAGTTTTAATATAAGGATTAGATAATACTTTCTTATATGAAACATCATTCACTGTCACATGTAAGAATTTGCAGCTGAAACCCTTTTTAGCCTTAAATGTAGAGGTACCTCTACATTGACATATAACTTATGTCCCTCATTAGCTCCTAGGTGCTCTTCTGGTGAACACCCTCACTTGGGTGTGTGTTAGTGATCTCTTAAAGGGAAAGAACTGCCTCCATTTGAGATAAAACCCAGGCTGCAGCACAGCCTTCATATTATTGTGGATGCTTTGAAGTGGAAGGAGGGGAAATGAACCCCTAAAAATAGTTGTGTCTTAAGGCCAAGGGAGCACCTTTTGAGGTCTGGAGGAGATGGAGACAAAATGCTAAGCAGTTTGGATATACTAGTCTGCTGTAAAGTCTTCAGCAGTGAGACCATGAGGAACTTTTGTCTGGAAACCAAGATTTCTCCTTGAAGTGCATTTAGTGCAGTGGATGTTGGAAGCAAAGCAATTATAAACACTTGCAGGTACATTTAGCTTCCTTCATGCATTCAGTCCCGTTGACCTGTATAACCTCTCTTCTGCAAGCCACTACCCTAAGGTTTAAGGACTTAATCTTTGAAGTTGGAAGAATTATCTAGCTTGCTGAAAATTTGAAGTAAATGGGGTTTTAAGTTCTGTAGTTTTCTCAAGCTTTTTCTCTCTGTGAAAGTAATTAATCTACCTGATGGCGTGAATTTTTTGAGTTTCTTAAATGAGTACAAGTGCCATTAGAAAATAATGTTTACAAATAGAAAATTTCTAATATACAGATCACATCCATGACTGCTGCCTATATTCAAATGGTGTATCTTTACTTTTTTTGTAAATAACTAAAGGATAGTGATTGGTTTTTAAATGCTTCTGTAGCTAATAGATGATCAATACAAATCTGGTATCGGACACAATATGTGGGAAGCTTTTTGGCTCTATTTCTTCTTTAATACCCAGAGCGCAGAACAAATTACAACACTTTTTTCAGTTTGCACTTTGATATAAAGGATCTGTAGCCATGTAACGATTAGATTTTTTTTTTTCACTTTTGTATTATTTTGAGATTTGTAATGTTCGTAATTATTTTATCAAAAAATGAATCCTAATATGATTGTGCATGAAGGAGATGAGAGTTGAAATGAGTGAAAGGGAGTCACTCACTCCCTTTAGTAAATCTTCTGCACCAGATATACATGTTGCCATGGAGTTGATTTATAACAATGCAGTGAACCAGTTATACTTTAATAAAAATATGAGCTTACTTAGATTTTTGAAAATTAAAATGTACAATTTTAAAATTTTACTTTCTAGGATTTAATTTTCATTTAAAATGTATTTCAGACATATCTATCACTATTATATCCATGGACCAAAAGGAAATGAAACAAATGCTGTAACAAAAGACATAACGCCTTTCAACAACATAGACATTCAGGTAAGAGCTATTATTAGTAAAAATTCTTCTTTGATGGCAACTTATTTCATACTATGCCTGTTTCTCTTAAATCATGCATTTTGAAGTACAGCAGCATTTTAAAATATGTATGTAATTTAATTTCTAAAAAGTAGTGCTGTTTATCATTGCAGCATAGGAACTGATTTTGCTAACAGTTGAGATAAATGTTATGAATGCTAGTTAGTTTCTCGGTCTAAGGAATATCAACTTCTTTTATTTTTTCCAGATTTCAATGTTTGAAAAAGGAAAAGTACCAAAGATTGTCAATCTTAGGGAGATCAAAGATGACATGCAGACATTGTATATAAATACTGCAGCAGATAGTTTTGAATTCAAGGCACATGTTGATGGAGAAGGTATAGTGGAAGGCATCATCCGATATCATCCCTTCCTGTATGATAAAGAAACATACCCGGATGATCCATGTTTTCCATCAAGTGAGTGAAATGTTTCACTGCTGTTATAGTCCTACTATAGACAATCCTGCTACTCCAAATGTTTTAATTAAATAGGAACTAAAAGAATTTAAATTAAAATGTAAATTATTATCTAATATGGGTTGTGGCAGAACAGAAAATTTCTCATCCTTTTGGATGAACAAATCCTCTGAATAAATTGGGTGTTGTGGTAAGTCATTCATGTAAACCTGATCTTTGACATAACACCATCTCATCTCAAACTATAAACTCTTATGGGACGCAGTCTGTTTGAAACATTGCCACTTTCCTGACTGCTAGATCTTTACTCCAAAAAGGAGTGAAACACCACCAGTTTAATTCAAGAGATTCTAACATCAGAATACTGCAGAGGACAACATGTAATCAAATCTTTAATTTAAAATTTGTTTTATCCAGCCTTGATGAATTTTCAGATCCTAGGGTTTTAAAATAATTTGCATTGGTAATTTTCTTTTTATGACAAAACAAAAGTTTAATTGTGACAAGATTTTATGACGTTAGATGAACGTATTTGAAACTAAGAGGGAAAGGTAATATTTAGTCAGATTTTAAATTTGCAAATTTGATAGATTTGGTAATATCATTCAATCCCTGTTTAAATTTTTTTTTCTTAGCTTTCCTTAGTTTTTATGCTTGGTATTTTTTAAACAAACAAAAATAATCCTAATATTGTATATACTTAGCTTGATATCATGTGTGCTGCTACTGTGGCTAACTTTCTAAGTATAGATAATCCTTAATTTAGACTGCTTTGTTTTCTGGTATTACATTAGTTTTTAAAAGAACTTTATTCATGGAAACTGTCTTCTTTTTAATCAAGAATTAAACAATGATGATGAGGATGATGACTGCTTTATAGTAGAAAAGGGTGCCAGAGGAAAAAGGCCTATTTTTGAATGTTTTTGGAATGGAAGATTGATACCATACACAACTGTGGAAGAGTAAGTTGTAATCTGTTTCTACCATGTAAACCAGTCTGTTTCTATAATGTAAACCTCCCTTTATAAAAAAGGGTTTTAATGTCTGTTCCTTTTGTTTAAGTTTTGACTGGTGTGCTCCTCCAAAGAAGAGAGGATTAGCACCAATTGAATGCTACAACAGAATTTCTGGTGCATTATTTACCAATGATAAGTTCCAGGTCAGCACAAACAAACTCACTTTCATGGATCTGGAGCTGAAGCTAAAAGATAAGAATACTCTGTTCACAAGAATCTTCAATGGACAGGTGAGCACTTTATTCTGTTAAGTATTTTTTCTTGGCAAAGTATAAGGCATATGATATAAAAACCTTTACTCACTGGTCATTTGTTCATGTCACTGAATATTGCCCAGTTTCTGAAGAGCTTTCACCTCAGGCACTTTTTCAGAACTTTGTAACAGAGACTTCTCTCAGTTTTAATGAGTAGTAAATCTGCAAAAATAAGATTGAGTCTTTTTCCTTGTGTAAACAGTGGCTTTATCTGGTTGTTCTATGACAGTTTTTGTGGAAAGACCTTCATAGAGGAATATGGGTGCTGGGGGAAACACTTTCTCTGGCTTAAAGTATAGCTTTCCTTGAATTTTGTAGTGTTTCCAAGCTGAAGAATCCATTTTTTTTGGAGTGCAGTATTGCTGTACTCTTACAATTGTTCATACTTCTGAAGTAGTCAGATTTAAATTTTATAATACATTGATAATATGTATTTCTTTTGTAATCTCTTAATAGGAGCAACGAATGAAAATTGACAGAGAATTTGCTTTGTGGCTCAAAGACTGTCATGAAAAATATGACAAACAGATAAAATTCACACTCTTTAAAGGAATTACTACACGTACTGATTTACCATCCAAAAGAATGCAGAGCCCTTGGGCAATGTATGCTGCAATAGAGTGGGATGGAAAAACATTCAAAACTGGACAGCTGGTAAGTTAGTTGCTCACTGGTGTTGAGGTTTGGTTTTCTTTGTTTTGTGATAGAGCATTTGAGCCCTGTAAAAGGCAAATACTATACATTTGGTGCAGAAGTGATACATTGACATTGTTTTCCCTTTACAGGTGAAAACTATAAAGACTCTTCCAATATTCTATGGAAGTATTGAGAAATTTTTTTTGTATGGAGACCATGATGGGGATATATTTGCTACTGGAGGAGAGGTTCAAATTGCTCTGGTAAGACAAATATACAAAGGATTCACACAGTTACAATACCTATGGAAACTTTAAACAGAATCCTGGGTCAGACTTATTTAATCGCCCTTCAAATAACTGTTGAAAATGATGGTATTTTTAGAGATTCAGCAATCCAGAAATAATCAAACTGCTTAGTTACATGAGTTTTGATGTAAATATATTAAAATTATAATTCATTATCAATAATTTATTTAAATTCACACATGAAATAGAGTATCACAATATCAAAAATATGTTGTGCATCTGTTCTTAACCCTTGTGATTTCAGCAAATTGTAGAACAGCGTCTTGTGGAATCACCAGGTAGTATTTGTTAGCATGTTACATTATATCCTTGTCTATTTATCTAGTCCCTTGATAGAGAGGTATTTCTTCTTGGACATATTATAATCTGGCTGTTTATAACTGCACTCTTTCTTTTTTTTTTTTTTTCTCAGGAACCTCAGGCCTTGTATGCTGAAATGAAAACTATTCCGATCTCAAAACTTGATAGAACAGTGTCTGACAAAGCTGTTAAAAAATACATAGAGGATGAAATGGCAAGGTAAGCTCTAAATTGTAATTATTTACTTGTAGAGTTCCTAATAACAGTTTTAGTATTTTTTCAGGAACAAAAAAAAAATCAGTTTTATTTCCAAATGGGAAACCAGTCAGCTGTTTATTAGGGGAAAAAACAAATAAACAACAACCTAGAACTCTAAACCAAGAAGAAATAGTTTGGAGTTATTTTTTTCCCCCTAAAACAGCTTTGTTTATATTCTGCTAAAAGTAAATTGCCCTGTTTTTTAACTCATAGAAAAACTGTTTTTGCTTTCTTTTTCACTAGACTTCCTGACAAATTATCAGTAACTTGGCCTGAAGGAGATGAGTTATTACCAAATGAAACAAGATTTGCTGGTACACCAATAGGTATATTTTTTCCTTTCAAATACTGAAAATTAAAATGTGAATTTAAAAATATATTATGCTCTCTTTAAAAAAAAATAAACCAAGCATACAGAAATCTCCAGTCACTTAAAATACACAGCATATTTTTCATCATTTTTCCTTTTAAATACAGGAGCCTTAAGGATAGAAATTTTGAATAAAAAAGGAGAAGCAATGCAAAAACTTCCAGGTACAAGCCACGGAGGTTCAAAGAAACTTCTTGTTGAACTTAAGGTTATTTTACATTGTAAGTATGTCACTATATTTAACTGAGTCTTTATTATTTTAAAAATGCATAATGGATAATCTATTTCTTTGTGTGTATACATATAATATGTAATAGAATTTGATAGATGGATATAGCTTTTATTTTTAAGGACAATATCCCATTAGAGCATGTAGCACTCCAAGCCACATTTAATGAAATTACAGTTGCTTCAGTGCCAAATATTTAATATTTTAGTGCTGTATTAGGATTACATCTTTTCTCACATGTAAGGAGGGCCTATCAATTCCAGGATGTCTAGTTAATATGCATAAGAACATAGATAGTGTTTCTGTAATTAACATAGCAATTCATGTGAGCTGCATGAAAGTAGGGACCAGATTTGTTTAGCATCTAATGTAAAGTGACTTCAGAATTTAAAAAAATCAAGTTTCTTGTGAATTAGTGTTCTGTGGTTTTCATTTTTTGTGTGCTTCACCTGGTGCTATGAGTGATAGTAATACTTGAAAAAATCAAGAATGATGGTGTAATATCTAAACACATGTAGCTAATTGTTTGTTTTTCAGCACCTACTGGGAATAAAGAAATAATTTCCCATATCAGTCAGCATGGAGGGAAATGGCCGTACTGGTTTAAAAAAATGGGTAAGTTCACATATGCAGTATTTTCATTTTATTTATAATTTTACTTTTTTTTTCTTTCTAATTTTATTTATATTTCTGTTCAGAAAATCTTCAGAAACTTGGGAACTACACCTTGAAACTGCAAGTAGTATTGAATGAAAGTAATGCAGACACTTATGCAGGAAGGCCTTTACCATCTAAAATATTTAAATTTACCATTATAGGTAAGAATTCCGGTCTTGTACTTCTAGTGTACTTATTTGATTCATTGTACATCAAAATTATTCATATTTTAGTTGAAAGGTAATTTTCAGCACTGAAAAGTATCATTTGCATGTCAAATATGAAGTAAATTCAGGAGAAAATTAATTTTTTCACTAATAGGTTTTGATCTCAACTTTAATGTGTTGTCTCTGCTATACATTGAGTTTTAGAAAAAAGTAAAGTGTTGATGGAATCAAATCTTTTCCCTGATGTGAACTTTCCTAAATGTATGTAATAAAAATAAACTTTTACTTAATTAGAGTCACTATTTTTCCTCATGTCATTGGCATATTCTTTCATAAAACTAGTATTCCTTAGGCCAAATTTCATGCATAAACCACAGAAACTAATTCAAAAACAGGTTATGTATTTAAAATATTCATGTTGAGGTTGAAGTCTCTTTTTTAATTAAAGGAAGAATCCTATGCAAAACTAAATTCTCATTTGGTTATAATGGGTGTGTATCTTTGGATTAACCATCATAAAATACTTACTGGAACACCAGAACAGAAATAATATTGTTAAATGTATCTGATGTTACTCTCTCTTGTCATACACTCTGGTATCTATGTTTGTGGCCTAATATAGTATGTGACTGATTGTATTTGCAAGAAAATTCATGGATTCTGATTTTGATTACACTGTTGAATACCGTAAGTTATACAGTGTATGGCTACATCATGTTTCTGGTACAGCCTTGTTAGTCCTGTTTCTCTCATCTTCTAAGATGTTAATTTTATTTCCTAATTTATTTGTGTGCATTTATCTGTTAGTGACTGTTTAGTTTTTGTTTATAAGCCTTTCTCTGAAGAAGTTTTTTTTTTCTTTTTTCCTGAAAAGGCTTCATTTCCAGGCAAAATAGGCATATATTTGGGAAAAAGTGTAAAGCTGTAGACTAGTTTGAAGTTGCTCTTTCTGTTCAGAAATATGGAACACAATTAATTTTAAAATTATAAAGGAGTGATATGTTATCTGTAAAGATAACAAATCTCAAAATTTAAAAATAAATCTCTACTTCTGATTCAGTACATCATAATTCATCTTAAAGAAAATCCATAGTTCTTTACTTGCTAAATTAGTATGCAAAAATACATGCTAACTATGGATTATACATCCCCTGCTCCATCTTATCACCAAGACTCATCCTTTTATGTAAATGGTCTTGTATATAGTAATCAAAAAATTGTAGGCTACCTGACCAAGAAGAACAAGTGGAAGAGGGCCTTCTACAGACACTTAGAAGCAGCATTATGTTCACAGACTGATCTTTGTGGAGGACTTCAGCCACCCCAGTATCTGCTGGAGGGACAGCACAGCAGGGGATAAACAGTCCAGGAGGTTCCTGGAGTGCATCAAAGACAATTTCCTGACTGAAGTGATAGAGGAACCAACAAGGAGAGGTGCTCTGCTGCACCTCCTTCTCACAAACAAGGGGGGGGCTCATGGGGCATGTGAAGGTTGATGGCAGCCTTGGCAGCTCTGACCATGAGACAGAACTGTGAATGGAAGGAGGGCAAAAAGGAAGGTCACAACCCCAGACTTCAGGAGAGAAGCCTTTGGCCTCCTCAAATTTCTGCCTGGTGAAGTTCCATGGGATAAGGCTCTGGATGGAAAGGAGGTCCAAGAAAGCTATTAATATTCACAGATCACCTCTTCTAAGTTCAAGTCTAGTCCATCCCAATGAATAGGAAGCCAGGCAAAAATGCCAGGAGGCCTGCATGGATGAACAAGGAGCTCGTGGCAAAACTCAGCACAGAAAAGAAGTGTACAGAAGGTGGAAGTGGGAACACGTAGGCTGGGAGAAATACAGAGACACTAATTCAGGCATGCAGGGATGGGATTAAGACAGCCAAAGTCCAACTGGAATTGAAACTGGAATCCCTGGCAAGGCATAGCAAAGACAAAAAGATGATCTTCTATAAATACATAGGTGACAAAAAGATGACAGTGGGTCCCCCCTGTTAAATGAGGCGGGGGACACAGGAAATGGAAAAGACTGAGTTACTGAACATCTTTTTTGCCTCAATATTTACTAGCAAGATGTTCAACAAGGAGAAATCATGCTTGACTAGCTTGATAACCTTCTAAGATGAAATGACTAGCTTGGTAGATGAGGGATGAGCAGTAGTTGTTGTGTAGCTAGACTTCAGTGAGGCTTTCAGCACTGTCTCCTGTATGATGCTCATAGAGAACCTAATGAAATATGGGCTGGTTGAGGAGAGGGTGAGATTGACTGACAACTGGCAGAAGAGCTGGGCTCAGAGAGTGATGGTCAATGGCACAAAGTCTGGCTAGAAGCCAGTAACTAGTGATTACCCCAGGAGTCAATAGGGACAATACTGGGTCTGATCCTGTTTAACGTCTTCATTAATGATCTGGATGATGTGGCTGAGTCTACCTTCAGCGAGTTTGCTGATGACACAAAACTGGGAAGAGTGTGTGATACACTAGAGTTGTGCTGCGATCCAGAGAGACCTCAAAAGGCTGGAGAAAAGAGACTGACAGGACCCTTATGAAATTCAACATCGGAAAGTGGAAAGTTCTGCACTTGGGGAAGAACAACCCCATGCAGCAGTATAGACTGGTGCCTGATCAACTGGAAAGCAGCTTTGTAAAAAAGGACCTGGGGGTTCTGGTGGTCAAGAGAGTGAATATGAGTTGGTAATTTGCCCTTGCTGCAAAGAAGAGCAACAGCATCTTGGGCTGCGTTGAGAGGAGTGTTGCCAGCAGGTCGAGGGAGGTGATCCTTCCCCTCTACTCAATACTGGTGAGGCTACAACTGGAGTACTGTGTCCAGTTCTGGGCACATTACATAATAACACAGGGACTTGGACATACTGGAGAGAGTCTGGCAAAGGACCTTGAAGATGATGAAGGGACTGGAGCATCTGTTATATGAAGAAAGACTGAGAGAGCTAAGACTACTGAGCCTGGAGGAGAGATGATTCATGGGGATCTTACCAATTTCTACAAATACCTGAAGACGGGGTGTAAAGAAGATTGAGCCAGGCTCTTTTCACTGGTGCCCAGGGACAGGACCAGAGGCATGGGAACACACTGAAACACAAGGAGGGTCCCTCTGAACATCAGGAAGCTCTTCTTCACTGTCAGGGTGACTGAGCACTGGCACAACTTGCCTGAGCGCTGGTACAGATTGCCCAAGAGGTTGTGGAGTGTCCGTTTTTGGAGATATTCAAATGCTGTCTGGACAGATTCCTGGGCACCTGGCTCTAAGTGGCCCTGTGTGAGCCAGGGGAGCTGGACAAGATGACCTCCAGAGAACCCTTCCGACCTCAACCATTCTGTGAGCTTTATCTACAAGGGGGACAGGGAGAGGGAAAGACAAAAAAATACTGCTTGCTTTACAGTTATTATTAAAATAAGTATTTTTGTCTAGCATCTGTTTCCAGAAGATCAAGAAAAAAATAGATGCTTTTGTTAGCCTCCTATTTTTTCCACAAAACTAGATGCTTTGAATGAGAACCCTTTAGGCAGAAAAAATTTCTTTGTAGCATATTCTTCTAAAAGCTTCTGCAGAAGTAGTATTAGCAGAATAGAAAGAGGTATTCTTGTATGATAATACAAAAAAGTGTTTGGCATTACTTGAAAAGAGTAAATATTTAAACATATGTCTGAAAACCTGGCGTTGAAGTCTCAAGATACATCTGTGAAATTCCAAGAATAAAAAAAAAATCCAGCTCTTTCTGTGAATGAATACATAAATGAACATTGTCTGCTCCTTCTTTATCTCTGTTTATCAAAGCAAAAAGAGAATCTTTAAAAGTGGCAAAGTTGCAGTCTGTATTTCAGAAATCCTTTTTCAATACTACGGTGGCTTTCCCAGCATGGCAGCCTTCAATTAAAGGTTCCTTCAGCTTTCCATTGAAATGAACAAACCTCCTTGAAAAGGAATAGAAGTTCTAAAAACCTAATGAATTTATAGTTTGATACTTTTAACACAAAAGATATGAAAAGCAACTTTTTCTATCTGTTGCTGTTTTTTGGCCTAGTCAGAAGATAACATGACATTTTTAATATTTTCAGTTTTGACAAGTGAATATTTCAGGTCTTTATTTTTGCAGTTTTTCGTGTTGTCTCAAAGGCAGCCATAAATCCTCATGCTTGTTATTCCAAAATATAAACATTTTTGTGGCTGATTATCTATATAGAGTCTAAAAATCCAGAAAAGAAGAATTAAAATCTAAACTGAAATCAACAGCTTTTTTGTCTGAGAAACAAATTATTTTATTTCTCTAACAGCAAATTGTTGCTCAGTGTTTACAGTTCTTCTTGGTAAGCTAAAAATTCATAAATGCCGTTTAAAACTGAACTTCCCAAGTTAATCTGTAAGTTCTGTGTTTTTAATTCAGATAAGTTCTATTGATAGTTATTCACTTTGACAGTGCAGAAGTTCTTTTACTGTTATTTTGTCAAATCATTTTACAGTTTTATCATTCACTTATGAATAAAATTGCGAGCACTGAAAGGTTCAGGTCTTTTTGTTGTTGTAAATGTTAATGTAAATAATTTTGGCCAATACAAGATAATTATTTCCCTCCCCACATGATTTTTCACATCTCTTGTGGAAAAGCAGCTCTCTGATAAATGGCACCTGTAAATAGTGATAGTAGTTGTTATTTGGAGTCCAAAATAATTTGATAGGATATTTATCTACTATTTAGCTCAGCACTGTGTTACTACTTTTTTTGAAGGTCACTTGGCCAAGGTAGTATGTTGAGGGGGGTTATCCTGACACTCTACTCTGCCCTAGTGAGGCCACATTTGTTCAGTCCTTAGCTCCCCTGTCCAAGAAAGACATGAAACTACTGGAGAGAGTCTAGCAGAGGGCTACAAAGATGACGAGGGGACTGAAGCATCTCTTTTATGAAGAAAGGCTGAGTCCTGGGTCTGTTTAGTCTGGAGAATACTGAGAAGGGGATCTTATTAATGCTTATAAATATCTAAAGGGCAGGTGTCAAAAGGATGGGGCCAGACTTTTTTCAGTGGTGCCCAATGATACGACGAAGGGCAATGGGCACAAACCAGAGCACAGGAAGTTCAAGCTGAACAGGAGGAAACTTCCTTACAGTGAGGGTAACAGAGCAGTGGAACAGGCTGCCCAGAGAGGTTGTGGAGTCTCCTGCTCTGGAGATATTCAGAACCCACCTGGATGCTATCCTGTGCAACCTGCTTTGACATGGGAACTGCACTAGATGATCTCCAGAGGACCCTTCCAACCACTACCATTCCCTGATTCTCTGATTCCTCAAAACATTTCTCTGATTTACAAGCTCGCTTTTTTACTGCTCTGTTTGGTCTCATTTTTTAGTGCCTAATTGAAGGCAGTCTAACCGGGCCAGATTTCTTCTTCAAGTACTCATCATTACTTGTCTTTATCTCTCAAATATGGGATAGTTGTAGAACAAAAATGGTTTTTTGCATGAATGATTTTATTTTAACAGAATTAAAGCAATTAGATGTTTAAGAAAAGCTGTCTACAAGGATCTTGTCTACTTTGAGGTGTTGTACGGATGATCCAAGTACTTTGGAAGTTTTGGCTCTCCTGTTGTTTCTTATACTGTAGTCTGCTGCTATTATGCTTTAACTATTGTTTTTATGTTAGGTCAAGTTAAAAAAAAGTATTAATCAGTAAACTATGACTTTGGTTACAGCAGTATTCTGAACAGCCTATTTACTTTGAGGATGAAAACCACTTGACTTAATTGCAGCCTTAATTAAGAAAATGTCAATGAACACACATAATTCCTTCTGAAAATGCATTATTCTTTTCTCTTAGAGGGTAAACCAGAGAAATTTTCAGTGGGTGTTTTGGAACTGCCTCTTCGAGTTGGAGTACCTTTTAATATTCCTTTGGAATTACAGGATGAATTTGGTCATGCAACACAGTCGACAACTGACATTAAACCAATTCTCGAAGCTAGGTATTTCAACCATGTATTTTTTTGTTTGTTTCGATCCTTTCTTCGTGGGACATTAATATAGTAATTCTTTGGGTTTTGTCTGAGTGATGTACTCCATATTTTTCACATAAAGTGGCATTTTTGCATTTATTTCCATAAGAATATCTGAAAGTATCTTGCCTATCAAAACACTATGTTTATTTTTAAATTGATTCTGTTTTGTTTTCTATGTATTTTTTCTAGTGGATTGACATTACACTATGAAGGAATAACTTCAGGAATGAAGTGCATCATTAAGGGTGTCACTGCTAAAGGCTGTATAAGTAATTTCCAGGGCAAGGTATGCTAATGATTGAAGTGACATATTTAAAAAACAACAACAACAAGAACCACACAAAACACACAGCAAATAATTTTTGTGTAAAACTGATTGTCACATAGTGTTAGCTATCTATTGGTCTACACTAATGACTAAGTTATTTCTTGGGATATTTTCAAATGATCACTCACAGCTCTACCAGAAGCAATTTGTCTTTCCCACATTTGCACTCTATTAGCTGATGTTATTGTAGTTGGAGCGGCTATGTGGTGGACTGTACCTAGCATGCTAAATCAGCTGTTCTAGTTTAAACTGGTGCTGAAATTGGTTTGAGAGACCATGTCCTCTGTAGAAGACACAGGTGTTGAAAGATTAAAAGGAATGAAGTTAAAGAAGTAAGCTGATTAGAGGCAGAAAATAGTGCCCTGTTACGAAGACAGTATTAAGTAAAAATGAGTAGTACAGAAAGGGAGTGAAAACTAAAAGAAGGGGAGCATAGGAGGAGTGTCTAGTGCATGAATACAAAGCTTGATTGAATGAGCTACTGAAGAATTCAGCTTATTAACATTAAAAATCAGCTATTCTGATTTCCTATATTTTATTTCCTACCTTATTTTTCACTCAGCAAACCAAAAGAATTGTCTGATTGCTTTCATCCAGTCTACAACACGTTAATGTTGCACATATCCTGGCAGGCATGAGAAGGGCATAAGCCAGGTTTATTAAATTAAACCTTTCCAGAGCAGCATTTCTGAGCATGTAAAAATGACAATTCATGAATTGTAACTAAATATTCTCAAATATCAAATATATAAAATCTGAAATTCATGTATCTGCAGTGCAACTAGTTTTTTAAAATTGGAGCTCTTAAGGTGATTGATTAGACTGCTTCATTCTCTGATTTTATTGAGGAAATGCATTTCAGTGATGCAATTCTACAGCAGTTGTTTTTCTTACAGCCTTATTCAAAGATGAGATGTATAGTAATTTTGGTGCCTTGCTTCAGGCAATTAGCTAAGGAATAATGAACACAGAACTTAAAGACCCTTTCTTTAAACCTTACTGAACTGATACAGTTTTTTTTCCCCATTAAAGCAAGCTTCTAAGCAGGAAACCGCAAGTTATGATAGCTGCTGTTAATGGTTTCAGAACCATGTAGTTTAACATGCAAATCCTGGATTGAACATCTCTGGGAATAATAAGAGATTTGAATACAGGGCAAAAAAATCATTAAGTAGCAGTGCAAAAAAATTTGGATAGACTTCTGAAATTTACATATATATGAATTGACTTGACTATGTTAGATAATTTATGATCTGGTTTTCTTTAAGCTTAATATTTAAAAATTTATTTTCATTAGAACTTTAATGTGAAGATTACTCTTCCTGGTTTGAAAGAAGACACACAAAACTTTAAAATAAGATTGCAGCCTGGTAAGTACCCTTAAAATATTTAGTGAATTTCTGTTGAATTTTATTCTAACACTATTAATGAAATACTGTCCCAAGAAGGTAACATATTTAGGGAAGCATAAAAAAGGATATTGTAGCTCATCCAAGTGATGACTGAAACTAAATAAAGCTAAGGGCCTGACTTATTTGGCAGGAATAACATCAAACTCACAGCCCATCCTTGTCCATTATTCTAGCAGCTGGAATTTGTCTGCTTACTTCAGACTGATTTTTCACGTAGTGTTTTAATTATTTTAAATATTTTTTTCTAGCCTAGCAACATGGAATTAATGAATTTTTTATCTTTTCTTTTTTCTTCGGCATTAAGTCCTTTAACCTGTACTATTCTGCATTGGCCTGTTCTCCCTGTAGAAAACATCTTGTGAATGAACAAGTAGCTCATTCAGTTTCTTACCCCAGCAAAGGAGGTGTGCTTTCACAGTTGGGATTGAGTCTGAAATCTTTAGTTTTACATGTTGACTTTATCATAATGCAAGAGAGGAATATAGAAGTCTGCAAGTTCACTGCCCTTACCAGAATTTTATGTTTTGTGGATGTCTTGATACTAAGGATTCCATTATGTGAATACTGTTGTCCCTTGTTACCTTGGGTTTTTCTGGATTTGGGAGATAAGGTATAGTTTGAAGGCTGATTTTTTACCTCCTAGATTATCAAACTTTAGGCTTTCCCATCTCATTTTGCAGAGAAATTGTGTACTCCAAGCTTTGTTAGACCTACAGTGCTCGGTTTATTCTGTTATTCTTTTATATTTTCAGAACTTAAGACTTCATGTAGAAAATGGGATGGAACTATGTGACTTGAGACAGATTGTATTGTGTATTGCTTAGTTATTTACCTTGGACTGAAGGCAACTTCATCCTTCATTAGAATCTTTTGCTTTTGGCAGTGTAGAGATCCTTCACTATCTCTTTCTTCTCAATGGACTTATTCTTGGCTTTTAAAGCTGTTTTTTGAGGAGAGAATGAATAAAAGCTGCTTCAGTCTTTCCTATTCTTCAGCAGAGTTTGAAATTGATGTTTTAATGAATGATACATAAAGGATGTTTCTGAAAAATGGTCGCCTTTGTTCATTCGAGACTTGTCTTTTAATAGTAATCTCTTACTTCCTTCTCTTTTTTTAAAACTGATAAAATAATTATATGATCCAGGGGGTAGACTTACTTAAATAGCTTCACTTTACTATCCAAGTAATGCCAACAAAATTTTCTTTACATGCAAGTTTTAGCAATGGTGGCTTTGGTAATTAAAAACTTAATTAAATAATTTAATTAAAACTTAATTAATTTGCATATCATGATTGTTTGCATATCTCAACATTAATATCTTAGTTTTTAATATGTGAGGAGAAAGCTGCAGGTTTCTTTTTGATGAATGTGAATCTATATAGTATGTAAATAGCACTATATCATGCGTTTGCACCTCACATATGCTGAAATTCATCATGTTTGTCTAACTGTTCCTTCATTCAAAAGATTGGCAGATCGTATGTATTGAAAGGCAGGAAGTTTCTAGAACTTCTCAGCATAAACTGTTACACTTGAATTGGGCTAAATGGTTTGCTACCACAAATATCTTGGTAGCCTGGCTTTAAAAACTTTTTGAGGTAACTTGTGAGATGCTGTATTTCAGTTTTTGCTATCTAAAATATAACCACTGTTCTGCAATTGTGCACTTTTACAGGCCCTCCTTGTCAATTGAAGGTAAAACCAGATTCCGAAATTCTAAAGATTGAAAATGGTACAGCTTTCCCCTTTCAGGTTGAAGTACTGGATGAATCAGGAAATATAACAGCACAGCCAAAGTTGATAGTTCATTGTAAGGTAAACGACATTTTATTGTGTCATAAGGATTTAGATACTTGCTTTTCAAAGGGCTGGGAAAAGAGCCTATTTTGGCATCTAAATAGAAGTTATTATCTTTAGTAATACTTTTTTGAAGTTTCTGTAGCTTGGTAGCCATAACTCTGACTGTATTGCCTCATCTATTATTAGTCATTCAGTAAGTTTCAGAATCAGAGGAACCTGGCAATTGAAGAGGGAACGATGTGAGGATATATAGCTACAATTTTAAGATATTTTAGATTATATTTGCCATATACATATAAAATTTGTTCAGGAAAAAGCTTCATACAGCTTATTTTTGGTTCGTTTAAAGATGAAAATGCAGCTTGAGTGCCTAAAAATAATATTAGATAATACTGTTATCATAAGCACTTCACAGAATCACAGAACGTTAGGGA